TTTACACCCACGTGTCAATACTTTGACTTCTGCCTCATCATGTAATGTTTCAGGGATTGTAAATTTTACGAGGTTTGAGCCTCCCTAGGAAGTTTTTAGTGCACAGAATGTTGCATATTTTCCTCATTTATCTGGTAGCCGGTTGGAGCAAAACAAAAGAAACAGCTATGCTAGCGGGCCTTATATACATATAGCTGTTATGATTTATCTAACCTCTGTCCATGTTCATACGCATATGATGCGCATGTGCAGTTACGGCTTATGTGCAGTCATTCCTCTGGCGGCTAAGCCAACAGAGTTTAATCGCTGCATTATATCTGGGACCGGATCTGACCGACAGGGCGCCGTCGGTGCGTGCCAACGCGCCTTAAAAGTTTAACGTGGAAATCGCGAAATTAAAAAGTCACCAGAAATCGCCGAAACGCGTGTCAGGACTCGGTTCTTAGCTTGGAAAGGAGACGTCACAGCGCAGTGCAAATAAACAGTTTTTCTCGGAAAATGATAGGTGATGGTATACCAAAAAAATGCAGATTGATGCGCACGCTGCGCATGTATCCTGGTGCACAAAAAGTGGATTTGGCGTCGTTTGGTCTTGTAGATAACGATTCGAAATTAACTGCACCGAGCGGATGCACGTGTCGTCCACAGGTCAGTCAGACAGCTCAGCACCGTCAGACACATAGCGACGCTAACAGTCGATCGGGGATTGCCCGATGTTGCGCACTTGGGAGGCAGTCTCGAATATAGCGCCCTGTCACCTACGCTGAGTGTATCCTGACCACACAGTTGACACGTACGTAAAGCCAAGTTCATGGTGACGAACACCCAACCAAATATTTTCACGGCGATTTGATCGCTGCCGCCGGCAAGGTTCGTCGCTGTAACTTTCCCCGTTTACCTGGGTGCCAAATGCGGCGATCGTTTGCCGTAGACTCTGCACGTACATTGGAGTCGCGAATTTGCACCGTTCTCGGGCGGTTCTCCGCGCGGCCGATGTTCGGGCGTGTCCCCGTGGCTTTCGGCAGCCGAGGGCCGTCGGTGATCCCCACACGGAAAGAGCAAGGGCGATACAGCTGAGGTAAATGCGATGCATGAATTGGCTCACAGTGCAACTACGGTGGGGAGACGACCCCCCCCCCCCCCGCCCCTCCCCCACCCCCACTCCTAAAAGCCCGAATTTTCGTTTTTCATCGTAGGGGGATTCCAACAGAAAGAAAGCGAATCGGCGTGATGCGTGCTTACCGAGCCCCGTGCCCCTCCCTTAGGAAGCTCTTGGCTCCACCGGCTACGCCCTTCAATCGGCTAATGCGGCTTATGTAGCACGTGCCGTAGAGAACTTTCAGAATTCCGAGCAAGACGACTAAAAACGACATATAGCCAGGAAGCCTCCAAACAAAATGAATCCAAATAAGCTGTATGAAATTCACAAGCAAACAAATTTTATCAAGCAATCAAAGCTCGTCAATATTGGAAGTTCAGACGGCTCAGGCCAGGAAATACCGATATCAAACGAAGTCTTGGAAACGCATTGCGCATCACGCAGCACTGGCTCTCTGGTCCATTTAAGTGTCACCTCACAAACTGTTTGAAGCAGGCTACACTTTTTACCCATGGTTGGACTTTCAAATGACTTGCATAGAGCCTAATCGCCCAAATCTAGCATTGTGCTTTAAGCCCAACAATGCACTATTTTCAACCCTAAAATCGCGATGCTTTTGATATGCGTCGCCCTTCGCACACCACGGTCAGTCTGCTGCTGCACCTATGTGCGCGTGGTGCGTCAGAAGTTCCGCGCGACAGGAGTCACCTGCAGAGTTAAGCCTTGGTCGTGCTTTCTTTCTTCAGCAGCCTCTTCTCCCGAGTCAGGGTCCGTCTCTGTTTCTGCAACATTTGTGCACTGCTTCCCTTCTTCGTCCCGACCAGAGTACAAAACCGTGTAATTCGGCGACCCGGAATGCATGGCGTGACTGCATCTCATACAGCTTTGAGCAGTAAACACTGAATATGTTCCGTATCTCTTTCCATATCCTCTGAGGCTTAAGCAGGCCAGCCATTTCGTCTGGTGCACCATTTATGTGTGGGCTGTCCAGGGTGTTTATGACTGCCCTCTGAATTTCAGTATGGACATTGAATTGCATATAACTCTAGATTTCACTATGGACATTGAATTGCATATAACTCTAGATTTCACTATGGACATTGAATTGCATATAACTCTAGATTTCACTATGGACATTGAATTGCATATAACTCTAGATTTCACTATGGACACTGAATTGCATATAACTCTGGATTTCACTATGGACACTGAATTGCATACAACTCTGGATCTCACTATGGACACTGAATTGCATACAACTCCGGATTTCACTATGGACAATGAATTACATATGCTTGATAATGCACATCGAACAGCAATCGGCGGCAAAAAATTTGTGAGCGGGGCCTCGTAATCTGCTGACGCTTTTGTAAACGGACATAGAGCTGCATTGAAGTCAGGGACTCATACGAGACACGAGCCAAATGTTTTGTTATGAAATGTGGGTACTGGATGTAGGAAAAAGCGATTGTACTTGAAATATTCATAAACTTGATATATATATATATATATATATATATATATATGCATGCAGATTGATATAACTGATACACATAACTGCCAGCTGCGTTTAGCGTAAGACGGGTGTTGTGACGCTGTAGCAGTTCTCCGAACAGAGGCGCCTGGAGCGTTAGAGATGACCGCGTCGCGACATGTGCGGTGGGATGTTCGACACACCCGGTCACCGCCACGGTGAGGCATGGGAAGCCGGACGCCACACTGGCGGACACCGCGGTTGCCCGCCTCAGTTCCGGCCAGCTCACCTGCGCACCGTCGCCGTTTCCGTCGCGCCATCGGCCCGTGAGAGGGCTGCGTGTTATGGCTGGCGCACCGATGTTGTGACCAACGCACCGATGTTGTGACCGATGCACCGATGGCATGTGCGTACCACACCAGGCATGTTCCGTTTGATTGAGGTCCGCATGGCCACTGGCGATAAACTATTGCAAACAAACTGGCGTTCCTTATTCTGACCGATTTTGGCAACTTTGGCAATGTGTTGTCCCTGAACCACAGACGCTGGACATTCTGCCGGCACATTTCGTACATACAGTGCAAGGATACATGCTGCATGCGATAATGTAAAGAGTTAACTGTAAAATCAGTGATAACTGAAAATATATTTACCCCAAAGAGTTATCGGCAATGACTATTCGGATCTCAATCATGAAGTGTTGGAATGTTTACATCTCCCACAGGTTTTGAATGAAGAATGAAGGAGCCTGCACGTAAGTTTGTGTACACATGCACCTAACATGTATCATGCATGAAATGCTGGCCTACGATATTTGTACGTCAACATGATATTCTCTTCGTCAATATGCTGTTCGAATGTATCAGTTGTCTTGTCGTTCTGAGAAACCGGATGTGTGTACGCATCATTGTGTGATGCGTGTGCAAGCGGTTGGCATGCGCGTGATTAACATTAATTTTTGCTTTTGCTTTTTGTAATAGATGCTAGGCATTGTTTTGCACCTAACAGGGGGGGGGGGGGATGAAGGCATGGGCACGAAAGGGGACGGGCCGAAAGCGACAGAGCAGACGCACAAATGTGGCACCTTGCTTCATCAGACGACGATGTATATGTGTGAGAGATGTCGTGTTCAAGCCGCCGTCTAAAGAAACAGAGCGAGGGGATCAAAAGAGCGTGACGACCTTCTCTGGGCTCCTATTCCTGCTTCATTTTATCTTGAGCTATCTTTTAGATATGCCATTCTAAACCGCATTGAAGACGATCCACATTCTACGCCACGCATGGTGGAGGAAGGGCTTTTTATGTAATGTAAGAGAAGCGTAACAAGGAGAGCAGAGGGGGTGGGGAAGGGTGGACAGCATAGAACTATATTGCCAGGTGTGGTTGCAAATCATGCCTACGTCTCTTTCAAATGTGTTCAAGCCTTAAAGCGGAATAGCAGTGCCTTCGTCACATAACATGCAACACACCCGTCTTTAGTTCGCACCTCTGGCTCAAGTACGGGCCAAACGGACGTTACCTTTTTGGGACATCGGCGTAGTGCTTAACGCGCGCCCTGGTGTCTGGTTGGATACCACTGCTCGGATATTTGTTTGACCTCTTGAAGGTCATGGTGACCAAAATCATAGAAGACTGCTTTGAGTTTTGCATAGGAAAAAAAACAAAGATAAGGTAGGCAGTATGCTCCTGGAAATGAAATTTTACCCGGGTCATTTTAGGCCAGTGATCTATTATGACCCACAACAGTCCATGAAGGATGTCTTATGTTGCTCATGTTATCAATACATTCGAAATGAGCACCAGGAAATACCCCAAACAGCAAGCCCTAGAGTAAAAAAACAAGTTGGCTTTAATTGGTCATTCAATTGTTGTGATGCTTAAGAAAGCATCTCAGAGATGTGCGGCTTCGTCTAACACTCCGTTATTCCATCAGATTGAACGATTCCCTTGAAATTGACTTCGTTGAATCTATGGCCTGACTTTGACCTGCCTCAGGTCGGCGACCTGATGAAATAATCCAATTTTTAATTTTGCACGATCCACTATTCAATGGTCTACAGCTATGCACCATTTGACGTGGCTACGCCGCGCCGTTTGGAAACCATCCCGGAAAAACCCTCAGGGTGTCAATTTGACCCCCATCCGAGTGCGCTTAACAAAGCGAAACTATTGGGTCGCCCAGCCTAAACAGTGCATAAACAAGAGGAGATGAAAAATGACCAAACTGTGAGCGCAATGTATCGACGGCCCCGGAGCTATTAATCCGTTTTTGGTGCTACTGCTTATTAATTAACCCATGCCTGGCTCGCAGCCCTAGTTTTCCTTTACCATTTTAACTTCCAATAAAATGTCAAAGAAAGCTACCAGATCAATACTGTTACGTAGATGGCGCTATCAAGACAAGCGAAACAGACGCTATAACTACAGCATATGCCCTACTCCAAGAGCGTGGGTCGGCTGTTCTGGTATTTCCTCGTAATGTGAACAGCCCTTCCGGTTGTTGAGTCAGGCTTGACGTGACAACTCACGTAGCCACGCTGCGGAGTTGAGGAAAACCACAGGTATCTATTGTCAGTGTGTTTCCTGAGGAATGTCTGTCCGTGCTTGTGGTCAACGCCAAGGTACAAACCGTGGACTTGCATGCCATTAGAGATGTAATATCAATCTCCCTCTCTATGCCCTGCGAAAAAATCTGATCTGGTGTACCAGCATGGGTGTAACCACTGGAGGTGGGAGATACATGCTCCCCCCATTTTCCCTAACTGCATTCCAATTTTACCTGCACAATGTGTGTTCTCCATGAATGCCTTTGAGTATTGGTGAACCCCTGTACAATGCAGTGTGCATAACAAGCAATAAAATAAATGTATGTATTCCCATGGAAAATAAATGCTGAAAGGTCAGGTCACTTGTGTATTTCAGTTTTGCCCCTCAATCTCAGAGAAATGATGATGGCACATCTGGCTGGAAGGTATTCCAGTGCTGTTTTTGTAGGCAACCCTAGTCACCACTTACCATGATATAGGTTTTGCCCTTGGTGGTCATCTTATTGCCAGTCATGGAAGTAAACATAGCAGTCAGCAATAAATATGTTATAAAACTTAGCACTGCCCTTACATGTTTTGCAACATTGTTGGCACAGGTATCATGTTTTTTATGCTGTCATGCCAGAATTCTTAACAATATAAGTAACAGTATGAATGTCAAAATATAATTTAGCACTATCAGAATAATCAATGATAATGCATTTGTGAACAAAACTTTCATGTGCAAAAAGCTCAACCCACACCAATAGTAGGATATTTGACATTCCCTAAAGTCCAGGTTGTGATGCCAACAACTGATGTGGGCAAAAGTGAAGCTGTATTCAGCCAGTGCATTGCAACATATTTATTCATAAGATATCAGCTGCTGTGAGCAGTTTCTTTTAGCAAATAAATACTGCCAAAATGTAACAAAAAGATGCAGGATTAGACAGATACACATCAGAAAAGGCTTGATATTAATATTTTGTGGGTTGAAAATAGTACTGTATGTAGAGCAACTATGTGTGTGTACTGTATGCATACTAGCTTGTGAAGATATCAGAATGTGCATGATTAACTTGGAGGTGTGGAACTAGAAGATGTAGGTTGGTAAAAACCAATAAGATCCAATGGGATGTCAGGCCTTCTGATCATGTGCTTATATGTGTACTGAAGTATGTTAAGTCCCTTTAATGAGTTTTTTTATGCAATTGCAGCTGTTCTGCAATGTTCTGTGAATTCCAATGGCATTAAATGTGGATTGTTGTGTATTTTAGGCAACTGAAAGATGGAACCAGAAGATGTCACAGAGGAACCAGCCAGTGAGCCTGGTGCAGTTAGCAAGCTATGCACTAGCATTGGGCAGGTAATCAACTATAATGACTTGGCACTCTGATTTGAGGCTATGCACATATAAAATTATGTATTTTTTCAAAGAATGTTGGCCCCTTCCCATTGTGGCATGCTGTAATGCTGCCTTTACACTCCCATAAGTAAGCATGACAGTTGCCTGATCTGATTTTGCTTTTCTTTTTTTAATGCTTGCAATACCATTTTTAGTTTTTGTGTTCTGATGCCTTTAAAAAGTGTGGGTAGTGCATATAGATCAGTGCGCTTAAAATGCTGACATAGCTCATGGAGACTCATCTTTTGAGTTGCCAAGAATATCAGCTATGGCCCTTGAAATTGTATGTTTTCCCTTCCAGCCTACTTGAAGCATGGGAAAGGGCAGAGTATGAACTAAGCAATGTGATGTTATATTCACTGCTAAATTCAATAATGTCATGCTTGTGTATGGAACTGCCTAACCCTGATGTTTTCAAAGGAAATCAGGCCAGGGCACCTAAATTGATCTAAAAGTCATGCACCTCTCCCTTTGAGCTCAGGTCACTATTGTATTTCAAATTTCCATGTGAAGTGTGCCAAAAGTCATATTAGGCTTTGGCACATAAGGTGTTTTCATGGCAATGACATGTCAATCTGTTTAACAGCGATATCAGAAGGTCTTGGATGATGCAACGCCTCACGTGCGACGACGATGGATCCTGGCAGGCCTCTTCAATGTTCTTTTCTTGGGCCGCATTGTTTACATGCAGGTGAGATGAGACTGTGCTATATGTGAGCTGGTGTTGTGGCTAAGACCCACTATTCAAACTACCAATCTCTCAAGATCGCATAATTTATTGGTCTGTCGTCGCCTCCAGTGGCGTTTTGCGCACGCCACGTTTTAGCCAGCTGCTCCTCCGGCCAGCTTCAGGTGTTGTCGGTTCTAATGGGGACCGGAATATGTTCGGTTAAAAGTCATGCATACATCACAATCTCGAAAGTGTTCGGTGACAGTAATGTTAAAAGGCTTAGATGTGCTGCTATACTGTATTTTTGTTGGTACAAAGGCAATTAAGCAAAAAGATAGGTAGTCCTTTTTCGGATATCCCAGTTTGCCTTTGACGAGGTATTTATGGTTGGATGTTTTTGGTATAGTTTGAACACACTTCTGAGCATAGTTACCTGGCCGTTGCAATGTTTAAATACAGTGTTCCCCAACCCTTAAATGCCACCTAATTTAATTTATGCCAAAACGGCGAAATTTCCTTTTCGGGCTCCACTTACCATCAGCTGACAATTTATAACGCATTATTTTTCGTTTCAGGGCTGGTATGTTGTAACGTACGCCCTGGCGATATATCATCTTAATCTTCTTATAGCATTCCTGACTCCGAAAATCGATCCAAGCTTAGAAATGTCATATGACGGTAAGTCGTGTTCTCATGATGTGCCCTCAGGCGACCCTTCCCATCGACAGCGACGAGGCGCGTGCTCTCAGTAATCCATCGGCTGTGGAGTCGAGGGGACAGGCCTGCGACGCACGCGCTAACGGCCTGTACAAAGTCGAGTTTTATCAGTGTACGTGATTGGGGGTGGGGGTTGAGTTGAGCCGGCGTGGCGCCGTCATTTTCGGGGGAAATTGAGACGTGGCGCTGTGGCCACCCGCTAAACCTTTTTCCCGATCGGAATATCCAGTTCGCCAACGGACTGCTGATCTGGTGTTTGTGGTGTAGGGTACTTGTGCGGTGTGTTTGTGCTTGTGGGGTGCTTGTATCAAGGTCTCCCATTAGTGTTTTAAGTTAGTCGACTACCCCTTGAAGCAATTTACGCATTGCGCATCCAGGTAGTCTAGTATATATTTATACATCGAGGACATGACATATCAAAGACAAATATATTTCATCTGGTTGGCTCTCATGCAAACGAAAGCTGTATTTAGGGCAAATACAGCTGTGAAACTGACAACTTAAACCTACGTGCAAATGGCGTGAGAATGAGGAGGGCACCAATAACAAACATCAAATGGCGTGAGAATGAGCAGGGCACAAATGACAAGCATCAAATAGCGTGAGAATGAGCAGGACGCCAATAACAAACATCATATGCGTCACGTGCGGGCAGGAGGGTAGGAAAGGAGTCCAACTGCACCAATTTTCGCATCACCAGCAGTGCCATTTTCGGACATTCTTGGCTGAATAGGTTTATGTGTGGGTGCGGGGGCGGTGGCCGGCGCGATAAGCGCAAGACTGAAGACTGCTGAAGCATCCATGCTGAGCGTGCTCTGTAAGCTCCCGGGGCGTTTTGGTCGGCTGTTTGCCTGACTTTGGGTACATTGTTGCTATTGATAAACCCGAATGGGATTATACAAGTGCTCATTTCTTAGTCGGTAAACCACCAAGTTGTATTTCCCAGCTGGGGTTCACTACTCCTACATAAAGTAGTTAAATTGTCGAAAGCTATTTTCTCTACTCAGTGAATGTGGTACTGTGATCAGTCATTTCTGTCAGGACATTTTAATTTGCATGCACTCAGTGAGGCATGCCATTGTTCATTGCTTTGTCCAGCAACCAGCTGACCTTAAGTTTTTGTTTTTTTTAGCGGGGGATCCATCGTATCACGTGCGGTGGTATAAATGGTGCGAGTGGCAGTGGCAGTATCGAGCAACGCGACTTAAAGTAGGTGGTAGGCGGATCATTTTCGGTTGGACAAAACTGAGACTCGGGTTGTTATTATGGGAACTACAAATAATCAACAGTTTAATGACGTATAGTAGTGCCAAAACAGGTCAACCGTTTAAAGACGACGTTTTTTTGACGACATGGGTATTTTTTGCTCTGCAAAAAACGCGTGATTTATACCTGTGCTAGTTCGTAAAGTGTTTTACTTTCGGAATAAAAAGAAACTCACCGAAGATGTTCTTTAAATACTATTTTTCACTACACTGCACTATTTTTGTCTTTTCTGTCTGTCTGCACTATTTTCCTCCTGTTGTGATTGTGGTGTGATTGTGCGGGGTGTGCGCCCGCGCCCTCGCTGTCTTCCGAGCTCTGTATCTGACTGGATGCCTGGGGGCGTCACGTGACCGCGGGTCTCCCGATTCGCCGGGAGTCGGGGGCCGGCCGCTGGGGCGGTGGCAGGAGGGACCCGACGCTCGCAGATGCGAGTCGGTTTTTGGGCGAGTCCGGGCGGATACACGCTACGTTCACCTACAAGATATTTCGGCGATCACGCCTTAACCGCCGCGGCCTGTGGCGACGCTGTGACAACGGCTGCTGCGAGTGTCCCGGCGCCAGTGATGTCGACTACTGCGGCCGGAGTTGACAGAGGGGTCGCGGTGACTGGTGGAAGCCCATTCGACGCGCGACTCATTCCCGTTTACGATGGCACGGCCGACGTCGTAGAGTGGTTCACGAGGGCGGCCGTGCTCTGCCGTCATTGTGGAGCAGACTTGCCCAGCATTCTGCCGGGGCGACTCGCGGGTGGCGCGTTTGCCGTCTGGCTGCAGATGCCGGAGGAGGCGCGTGCGTCGAGTGACGCCGTGCGTGACGCTCTCTATGACGCCTTTGCGATGGATCGGTTTGCCGCGTACGACGCATACACCAGCCAACGGCTGCTGCCTGGTGAGTCGCCTGACGTGTTGACTGACGGACCTACGGCGTCTCGCAGCTCTGTGCGGTGGGGCTCCGGAAAACGTGCTCACGTGCGCTTTTGTCGCCGGCCTGCCCGACGAGGTGCGGAAGACTGCGCTGGATCCCAAGCGGAGGCTTTGAGTCTGGCAAGCATCCTGGTGTGAGTCCGGGCAGTGCTGAGCGACGAACGTGCCGGTGCGGCAGCAGCAGCGGCTGGAGCGCACGAAGAACGAGGGACCCACGGGCGCAACCGGCAAGGCGACCCTTCCGGAAGTGGTGGACCTGCGGACAGGCGGGTCACCTGGCAGCGGCGTGCCCAAATGGGCAGGGGCTGCGTTAGCGCTAGCGCAGTCCCCCGAGCAGTCGCGCGCGCTCCGCCAGTCGTGGCACTGGCGGACCAGCTCACTGGAATGTGGCGTGGAAGTGGGCGCACGGACGTTGTCCCGAATGTCTGCGGAACACCGTGAGTGAGTACGCTGTGCCGGCTGAAGCACGAGAGGCCTACGAGCGCGAGTTGGCTGAGTGGGTGGCGAACGGATGGCTCCGGCCCTATGACGAGCAAGAGGACGGGCCCGCTCGGGGCCTGATTCCCTTGATGGCAGTTCAACAGCCGCACAAGGGAAAGATCAGGCCGGTGTTGGACTACCCCGAACTCAACCGGCATGTGACCGCGCACACCGCGGATGCCGACGTGTGCGCCGAGCAGTTGCGCCGCTGGCGCCAACATGGTGCCCGGTTGGCCACGGTCGACCTGTGAAAAGCGTACTTGCAGCTGCGTCTGGAGCACCGGCTGTGGCCGTATCAGACGGTGCAGGTCAAGAGCTGCACCTACAGCCTCACGCGGCTCGGATTCGGCCTCAACGTGGCGCCGTTGATTATGGAGGCCGTTGTTCAGGCGGCGCTGCGTTGGAACGAGGCGATCAGCCGGGGAGTGCTCGCCTATGTGGACGACCTGCTCGTCGACGAGGACGTGGTCAGCGCCGACAAGGTGGTGGAGCACTTTGCGAGGTACGGGCTGGCCTTCAAGTCGCCGGAGCGCGTCGCGGACGGAGCGCGAATGCTTGACCTTCGAGTCGAGACTCGGGATGATGGGCTGCCATGGTGTCGAGACAATGAGGTGCCTCCACCGCGGACCGAGCTCACCCGGCGTGCAGTGTTTGCGTGGTGCGGGCAGTTGGTGGCGCACCTCCCAGTGGCGAGATGGTTGCGACCAGCAGCTGCCGGCTAAAGAGGCGAGTGAACGGCCTGACGATCGAGTGGGACGACCCGGTGTCGGATGATGCGTTGCGCGCGCATATCCAGGAAGTCACAACGCGGGTGAGGGCAGCTGACCCTGCTCGTGGGCCGTGGCGAATGGTCGGCCGGGAGCTCGTGGTGTGGACTGACGCGAGCGCCATCGCGAACGGGGTAGTCCTGGAGGATACGGAGGGCGGCGTTCTCGAGGATGCCGCGTGGCTCCGGCCAGAGTCCAAGGCGGCGGACCACATCAACATGGCCGAGTTGGACGCGGCGATGAGTGGCGTGAACATGGCCCTGGCATGGGGCGTTAAGCGCTTCAGCTTACGCACGGACTCGGCAACAGTGTTCAAGTGTTTGAGTGACGCCTTGAGCGGACGCTCTCGTCTCAGAACAAAGGCGCGGGGGAGATACTGATCAGACGCAGAATTGGCCTCATGCGACAGTTGGTCGACGAGTTCCATCTCTCTGTGATCGTCCAGCTGGTGGGGTCACAAGACAATCCTGCCGACGCGCTCACACGAGTTCCCCAGACCTGGCCGCAAGCAGAGCTTCGAAATGCGACTTCAGCCGCAGCAGCCGCCGCGCCAAAATGTTTCCCAGCACCCCCGCGAGATGCGGCTTCGGTCTCCGCGACTATCGGACCGGAAGAAGTCGCGGCGCCCCCGGCGGACTAAGAAGCCGCTCACCAACCCACGGCAAGCGACGTTCGTGCCCGGATTAAGCATACACGAATGGACGGGCCACCAGGGGATCCGCCGGTCCCTGTGGTACACCAGACGGGACCTCGGCGGACACGTCGCACGGGCCGACGTGCGAGCCGTCGTCAGCCAGTGCGATGTGTGCCGTTCGATTGACCCGGCGCCGACCCGCTGGCTGTCCGGCTCACTCGGCGTCCCGACAACATGGACCCGACTCGCGGTCGACGTGACCCATTGCCAAGGCCGCCTCTACCTCACGATCGTAGACTGCTGACCGTCCCGGTACAGCATTTGGAGCGCACTGCGACGGTCTGACGCGGCAGAAGTGACGGATCATCTGCATCAAGTGTTCCTAGAACGCGGCGCGCCGGCTGAGCTTCTGCTGGACAATACCACTGAATTCCGGAGCCGGCGAATGGCTGCATTCGCCGCGAAGTGGGGGGTTCGGCTGCGGTTTCGCGCGGCACACGAGGCCGGCGGCAACGGAACCGTGTAGCGCCACCACCGAACTATAAAGATGATGGTCGCCCGCCAACGGCGCTCCGTCAGTGAAGCGGTGCATCGGTACAATGCGACTCCGCGGGACAGTGCCAACTCGCTGAGCCTGCCGATGGCGGCAGGTATTCCGCGCAGCCCGTGCCGACCTGCCGACCGATCAGCGCGCTGCCGAGCCCGCACCGCCGCTGATGCAGGAACCCGTCTCATCATCGTTTTGCGTCGGCGATGCGGTGTGGATGTGGCGCCGGAGGCCCGCCACGCGGTGCACCGATGTGTCGCGCCAGGGCGTAGTTACGCGGGTCGTATCGGACCAGGTGGTTGAGGTCGACGGCACGCCCTGGCACGTGCGGTGCCTGCGCCGGCGGAACCCGCAGAAAGGCTCAGACGGTAGCCGAATTCTCGGCGCGGGTGAGGAGTTTGGGGACGACACAGGCACGCTGCCGATGACAAAACATTGTGTCGAATCATGAGTACACGGGGGAGGGGGCGGTTCAGATCCGCCTGCCGTGCCATCAACCCCGTTGGTTGTGGACCCCGCTGAGCGCCCATCGCTATCTTGGAGCGATCGCGATGAAGTGTCAAGCGCCAGTACGAATTCTCAGTCATTGTGCTGTGATGAGCATGAATTGGATGAGTGCGTTGTGCGCAAAGATGACTCGTTCGTGTCCAGCAACGGTGCGGCGCTACCACCGCCTCGGCCGGATCCTCCACAAGGAGAGAGAGAGAGAGAGAGAGCCGCAGAACCGAGGAGGAGCGGTCGCGCTCGCCAGCAACCGGTCGAGTTGTATGGCTTCAGTGTCCCCACCGATCTCATTGACGATTACGAGTGTGTGTAGATTGGTAGAGCGGCATGATTGCTTACAATCAGATGGAGGTGTGGTGTGATTGTGCGGGGTGTGCGCCCTCACCCTCGCTATCTTCCGAGCTCTACATCTGACTGGATGCGGGGGGGGGGGGCATCACGTGACCGCGGGTCTCCCGATTCGCCGGGGGTCAAGGGTCAGCCGCTGAGGCGGCGGCGGGGACCCGACGCTCGCAGGTGCGAGTCGGTTTTTGGACGAGTCCAGGCGAATACATACTACGTTCTCTTACAGTGATATATCGGGAGTCATGGCGATTGATCTTTCCATGATTACCGAAACTATGTCGAGATTTCTTGCTTTTCTTTAAAGGTTCCAATTTGACATGCAGAGGGTGCCTTTGTTTACGTCTGGGTGACTGCACCAAGCCATAAACCGACGTCACTTATGTCAGGGTTCATACGGGGTTGGCGCTGCTCTGAAGATGAGCTGTTGCTACCTGTCTCACCGTTCCTGTGATTGACACCTCACGTGATCATCAGCTGACGTTCCTTGTGTCGTCACCCATCCGTTTAACGCTCCATCAGACGATGAGGCGACGCTGTTTTCGTCACCAATATTTGGTTTAACGCTCCACCAGACGATGAGGCGATGCTGTTTTCAACACCAGTATTTCGTTTATCGCCGTACTAGACGATGAGGCGAAGCTGTTTTCGTCACCAGTATTTCGTTTAACGCTCCACCAAACGATGAGGCGATGCTGTTTTCGTCACCAGTATTTCGTTCAGCACTTCACCAGACGATGAGGCGATGCCGTTTTCGTCACCAGTATTTCGTTTAACGCTCCACCAAACGATGGGGCGATGCTGTTTTCGTCACCGGTATTTCGTTCAGCACTTCACCAGACGATGAGGCGATGCCGTTTTCGTCGCCAGTATTTCGTTTCACGCTCCACCAAACGATGAGGCGATGCTGTTTTCGTCACCAGTATTTCGTTCAGCACTTCACCAGACGATGAGGCGATGCCGTTTTCGTCACCAGTATTCGTTTAACGCTCCACCAGACGATGAGCCGATGCTGCCGACACGCTCCAACGACGAGTTTCGGCCGTTCGAGCGGCGTCTGCCCGAGTTCAAGTTCTGGCACAGCGTCATGAAGGCGACCACCATCGCCTACTGCTGCACCCTCTTCAAGTTCTTCAACATCCCTGTGTTTTGGCCCATCCTCGTTATGTACTTCATAACGCTATTCTGCATCACCATGAAGCGCCAGATCAGGGTAAGGGCATTATGTTTGTCGCGTGCAGGATGTTTGACAGCTCATGTGGGCTTTCTAGATGCAGCCCATCAAGACGGCCAACGTCACAGAAATAACCTAGAGTAGCAGGGTTAAGTTTGAAACCAGGGCAGCGCACTGGTACAGTACATCAACCCGCTCAGCTCCGTCCGATTATTTCCATTATGAAAATCAAACGTTGTGTTGTTCGTATCGATACGTTTTTTCTTGAATGCCAGTCAAATAGGCTCCTTTTGTTTGTATTTCTGTCCTTTTTTGTGAAATGTGTCGGTTATGTAGAGAAACAAGTGTTTCCAACATAGATAAATTTTGTATTTGGATGTTCATCCTGTAATTGGAAGCTGTTTAGACCTAAATGTTGTTTCTGGCGAGGCTGGGGGCCAAGTGAGTCGCAATTTATCTATGGAAACATTAAGCTTTAGCAGTCCAGTCCGACCGTCACACTTCCTAAAAGTGTGACGTGTCCTAAGTTTTCCAACATCCGCACTACCACTTGCCATAGTATCATGAAGTGCTTAGCAACACGAAGCGCAATTCGTTAAAAACAATTATGCTGTGTAAATTGTTGGACACTTTTGTTTTGTCAGGCAGGGTTGTGAGATCAAGATCTGCAGATATGGGTACCGAGTGCCATATATTGCAAAGCACCACTTTTTCTAGCCGTCACCCAAGGTCAGGCGATCAGGGGTGCTTTAGCCGCGGCTAGGGGCAACAGAATCTGACGTTAACGCCGCATAAACTAAAAGTGAACGAGTCGTCGAACTTCAATCTAACAAGCAGTGAAACAAAAAACAAAAACGAGCGAAAGAAGTAAAAAAACTTTTTACATGTTAGCTAAAGCAGCAGCCTTTGAAAGGAGACAGGAAGTAGTTATAGCTAAAGGTTACGTTTGGCTACCCACCAGCCCATTTCCGACGTCAAATTGCTATGATTAGGGCTAATCAGGTCGTTACGTACATACAGGTGCACGTGCTCAAAACACGCACAAACTATGGATTCGCCCGATTTTGGTCGCTTGCGATGATTGAGATCAGATCCCAGCGGTTTGGCCAGATGGAGGCCTGAAAGGCGGGTGTACCCACACTATAGCCCGTGGACGGATCTAAAAACGGTTCGACGTATAGCTGCTCAAGAGATGATTGGTGGTGGGCCTGAGAGCGGCCCGTGCCACCGGGTCCAAAACCGACCTCGAATACAAGGCTTACATCGAGAGATCGAGCCGTGGAAACTGTACATGTGTCAAATCCTGTTCTTTGTGGCCCACACGCACTTATTTTTTCGCGTTTGTGTGATGCTTTACAGCGTAAACCGTAAATTATTGTAACCATATGGATATCGTTGATTAAGATTTACAGACCTAACCGGACTCATAGCTTGACAATTTCCAAGCAGCATTTGTTGCGAAGTGACGCGCAAAACAGTGGACCTGCGCCCGCTGAAAGCCCTCTTGAAGGCGTTTTTCAATGCCTTTCTGAAATTCTTTGATATTGGTCGTCTCATTGGTACTTGTCTGGCCTCATTAGTGCAGCTGTTGTCATCAGTTACTTAATAACAAAAGACAGCGCTCCCTTATGTGATCACCTCGTTTGTTCCACGCCGCTCCAGAAATGTTACCGATTTACATGCATTTGATGTCAGCATGAGTAGTGGCGTTCTCAGAAGTCCCAAAGCTTTAGACTGCAAGTCGGCTTTGTGTTTTCTTAAGTTCAGTCAATTGGTATTTAAAGTCAGTATGGGTGTAACTGATATTAGATACTGTGATACCTATCCACATTGTATGTAATTTATCCTCATCTGTACCGTTATGGTCCTTCTCATTTGCATCCGCTCCCGTTCACACTACATGTGACGCCATTACGCCTACTTTTTACTTGCGTGCGTGTGGGCGCGCCTGTACCGACCTGAGGTATAACGACGCCCCCTCTCCGCCTGCAGCACATGCTGCGGTACAACTACCTGCCGTTCTCCTGGGGCAAGCCCAAGTACGCCAGCAACGTGGCGCCGCCGACCGACGCCGTCTGATGGTGGTCCGGGGTGACGCGGCCGCTCCGGCCCCGCCGCCGGCCAGACCGCGCCTGCGCCAGGGTCCGAACACTTCGCGCGCGGCGCGCCACAGCGACGGCAGGGCCGGGCGCGGCTGCGGTGTCGGCTGCAGTGATGGACGCACGCGCGGCTGGCGACGGCAGCGTCCCTGTGCCGCTGCTCCGGACGCGACTGGAGCCTCGCGAGCAGCCGGGCCGCGGCCTGGGAGCGGTGACGGCGTCCTGCCACGCCCCGCCGGCACCCAGACGGTCGACCCGGGTCTCCCACCAGGCCATCGGACCCACTTGTTGTCTGTTTTCACGTCGTCGGACTCGCAAGGGAGCATTGGTCGGTCCACGAGGACTGGTAACAATAACTTATATGTTTTTTACGTAGACTCGTCTGTCAGGTTGGCATTTTTTAGTTGTTAGGGAGCGTCCGCTGTGTTGCAAGAAAGTTGGACATGTTCGTAGACCACCGCAATGGCGATGATGGTGCACTGTTTGTGACACTTACCCATTTTTGCTGGATACGGCAAAATATATGAGGTTATGAAACGTCGACCTATAGAAGGGAAAGGCATGGGTCCGTCGTCCCGCACCATGTCTTCGCGCTGCTTACTTCCTAGCGTACAGACGATTAGCGGGCTGTTAAGCGAAGGGCATGAGGCTGCATAAAAGTTTTCGTAGTCAGAAAAAAAACGTTTTGTCAGATCTCATTGTCCAGATTTTTGGTATGAGTTGAATGTTTAGTTCAGTTATGACGAACGGGAAGTTCCGACTTAAACTACAACCAGTGCCGGGAAACTGGATCGCCAGTTTGGCGTTTTCCGTTAACCTTAGGTTTTGGACTAGTTTCAGTGCTGTCATGATGAAAGTGCCACCACTGGGGACCGTGCTTTGATAAAACTTAACACTACTGAGTACCATACATGCTGTGATCACCGCGACACGACTCGTGGCGAAAGAAGCACTTCAAGTTAAACAGGAGAGTACAGATTCCAACAACTTTCTGTGCACTTGACCGAAAAAAGGGTTTTCGTTGTACCCAATTTCGAACATTATTGGCTTCAGTACTCACGGGTACCGTTCATTGTCAGTTATGCGATGCCCGCAAGGCGGTCAGGGCCGCGTACCCAATTACCAAACGCCGTACACAAGTTCTAACCTTATGAGGTCAGTTAAGTGCGCCACGACAGTTCCTACGGTTTAGAAGATAGCCGTTTGTGAATTGCGTACGCACCTGCGATGCCATGGGTAGATGATCAGATAGGTACTCCGCCAACGGGGAACGCGGCTTAGGTGTGGATCCACTTGCAAAAGCCTCATTGCAGGCTGCATTTGTGTGTTTAGGCAATCGGACAAGCTGTGTTCTTCATTCAAATTATTTATGTGATTGTAGCACCTGGTGACAGATATTTGCATTCTGTGCTCTAAACCTACGGTCAGTTTGGCTTAAAGGCTGTTCCACATTGCATGGAATTCGAGCTGAAGAGGCCATTTTGAAGATCATTCGGTGCAGTTTACAGCCCTGGGATGCGTGGCGCCATAGCAAGGTCATCCAAATCCTGCCATTTCACCAGCCAAGCGGCGTCAAGGTCAGGAAGAATATAGCCGCTCGGCCGTTCAGATTGGCATCCGCGAACGCGACTTCCGAGTAAAGTGGGCGTCAAATGACTCTCAGGCAATGTTGCGCAAGCTGTGGAAGCTTCAGTAACAAAAGACGTTGTATGCTACATAGTTCAAGAAGTTCGACATGGCTTCTTCACGTGCTAGTTATTACAGAAATCAGACTTGTAATCTAATATAAGCTGATTGGTAATGCAGTAAAAGAGTCATGTCATAAACTATGATGCAGAATGCTTAAGATCAGTCGTTATATGCAAAATGAGACATAATGTGAGTAGGCACAGACCAATATACAGAAGTTTAATTTAGATGCAGGAGAAATTACTTTAAAACAATCGGACCGTACAGCCCCCAGTCCTGCTGCGACGCCGAACTTCATGCGCCTTACGACTCATTTAGTTCTGGGGCCTTGACGACTCAGACGCCGAAGTCATGCACGGACGAACCGGTACCTGAGTACTCCCTTAATTCCAAAGAGAACAGTGCACATAAAATCTGTCCATTTTGTCGAGGAGAAGTTATACACGACCAAAGAACATATGTTTTAGGGGGCGGCCCGTATGATTTTCTTCAAAATCGCCTCATCGAACCGTGAACCGATGGCCATCAATCAGGCTGAAGAAAACTTATGAGCCATTTACATGTAAGGGTTCAAAACCGCCTAGCAAACTTTTATGATGGGATTGTTCACTTACTTAACGACAAATATATGCCGAATTACGTTCGTATGAAAACATCAATCAATCCAAGCAAAGAAATGCAAACATAGTTTGCCTATCTTGTCTAGGGCAAAGTTACACACACTCGAAAAAGCATGACTAAGGAGCGGCACCAGCGATTTTCTTTAAATGGCCCCATCGAACCACAGGCGGATGCCCATCAGCCTAGCTGAAGAAACCTCATGGGCCATTAATATCTAAGAGATCGCAACCCCTTAGACAAAATAGATAACGGGATATTCCACTTACTTCCGACAAATATGTGCCGAGCTGCTTGTCACATGCAAGCAATTTGTCAACCCAAATCGATAAATGAAAACATTAACTACTTACATTGTCTACAATCGAAGAAACGATGTCTATGGGGCGGCCCCTATGATTATCTTAAAAATTGTCTCATCGAACCAAGGACCGATGCTCATCAATCTGGCCGAGGAAAGCGTTTTGACGCCTTACGTGCCTTTGGCCCATAAGGTTTCTTCATCCAGGCTGATGAGCACCAGTCCTTGACCTTGCCAGGATGTCATGTCAATGCATTTGAGCGTATGTGCTTTGTGTCCTCGGTGACCTGCGCCTTCCTCGGCGACACGTGGTTCGTCACGGACTTCAGGCGACGTATATATAGGTCACTGTCATTGCGGTGTTTGCGGCTGCACATTACACAGCCGCGTGGAGGTGTGGTCAGACTGTTGTCATGGCTAATGGAGGGCTGCAAGTAAGCGAATTGCACTGCTTATGGGGTTACACAGCGCCACATTGGTTCGGCGTGGATGTAATGGATTGCAAGTCGTAGGTTCAGAGCTAGCTTTCACGTGATTCCCTGGAATTTGGGGCTGTCAACATTTAGTCTCTTACTCATCAACGCATGCAATAAATTTAGTAAGTGGGGGGCGTGCGCTTGAGGGCGACCTTATGCGCATGCTCCTGCTCTTCTCAACTGAGGGGCCGCAACACTTCCCCAACTGAATAGGAAACTACACCCCTGGGGTAAGGTAACGCATGCGACGACCTTACTATACATGTTGATTGTAAAAACGCTGTATTGGGGACCAGCGTAACTTATAAGCAAAAGATGAAATGATGTCCTGCCTTTTTCGAAACTCAACGGATTTGCTTCCTTTAACACCAGTGTTCGAACAGAAACTACCCTTGGTAAGAGTTACTGTGCTTCCTTCGGAATCTAGAGACTAGAGATGTCCCTTCTTGCAAGACTTCGACCATGTTGAGGAAGCATTGCCCGGTTGCCCTCTTTGCACTAAGCGAAACACGAGGAACTCGATATTGATTTAAACGGGTGGGATTGTAGCGGTATCAATAATTACTTTAGAGACATTTCTGTTTGAAAATCTCTAGAATACTGGCCGTTTTCGTCGCCGTCAAGATCTGTTCGACGATCTCAGACACGTCCATCGCCCACTTTTGAGGGCGAGTGAGGCGGTGAATGTAGAAGTTCCGCGATCATTTCGCTCATCATTGACATTGACATTGAGGACTGGTTTGGACCTGAAACGAGTAGTGTACCAATCCCGACAATAACAGCCACACACAGTCTGTTGCTGTGTCTACATAGATGACCCACCTGGCTACTGCTCAATAAAATCAGCCCAAGCCTTGACAACGTGGGTTGCTGTTCCTGACTTTCAGGTATGCGTGTAGTTGCTAAATTTGTGCAACCTGGCTTGCTACAGTATTTTCTGACCTCAGGTCACGCAATGGATTTTCTATCGCTGGTCACACTTCCACTAGTTCTGTTCCACTAGTTCCACTTCCACTAGTCCTCTAGCTCTGTTCTGTGATACTTTCTGTCCCCATATATCAATCAGACTGTAATTTTCATGCAGTTTTGCGTTTGGCAGGGCATCGTAAGTTTTGGAAGGTTTAAAAAGTCATACACCTGTGAAAAAGGACATCACCTTCTTGAAATGTTTACCTCACAAAAGCCTGCCAACATTGGTCCACAAGCCCGCCAAAACCCAGCAGGTTACTGTCAAGTCAGATGTGACGGGTTGAAAAGTTTTATCCAGATCCAGACAATGAATGAGTACCTTGTTTTGTGGACGAACGCTGGGGCATGGAAGTGATCAAATTGATTGGACTGACCCCAAATATTGTTAAACCCTTTGTCTCGGACTAACCTGACAGGCATATTCTGCTGGATCTGATGGGTGGCACTGCTGAAAGATGGCATGAAGCCTTATGAGCTACATGTGGACCATGCGGAATTCGCAGATTACTGGGTGCTGTCAGCAGGCTCAGCTTTGACAGGACACCTCGCACACTATAGTGTTGCATTCTAGGATGAAGCGAAACGGTGTCGCGCCTGGCGTCGATGGGCCCAGCTAGGCATTACCCACCACTGGGTTACCCCTGTCTGACCCCGATCCAGCCCGCGCGGGCGGACTCGGCGGGCGTTGGGAGACCGACCCCTGTGCACGGTCGACTTCCGGTCGTTCACGCGCCGCCGGTCCGCTTCGCAGATGGGCGACAAGCATGGCGCGCCGGCCATCGCGGCGCACCTGACCGGCTCGGCAGACTCAGAGCTGGGGCGTTTCGTGAAGCTCTGGCAGGAAGAGCCGCAGAGTGAGCCAGACGCCGGCCTGACGCCGCTCGCCACACCCTGCACTGTGCTCGTCGCCACCGACGGCGGCATGCGCTTGTGCGTACCGGCCTGACGCAGCTCGCGACACCCTGCACTGTGCTCGTCGCCACCGACGGCGGCATGCGCTTGTGAGTACCGGCCTGACGCCGCTCGCCACACCCTGCACTGTGCTCGTCGCCACCGACGGCGGCATGCGCTTGTGAGTACCGGCCTGACGTCGCTCGCCACACCCTGCACTGTGCTCGTCGCCACCGGCGGCGACATGCGCTTGTGCGTACCGGCCTGACGCCGCTCGCGACACCCTGCACTGTGCTCGTCGCCACCGACGGCGGCATGCGCTTGTGCGTACCGGCCTGACGTCGGCAACCCGATCAGGACGACCAACTGCGACACACTGTGCTGCGCGGCCACGTGCTGACCGAGGCCGTGCGGTCTGATGACGCGTGGTTTGCCGCCGGCGGCTGCGTCGCCCGACTCGACGGCGGCCAGATGCGGTTGATGCGGACTGACGGCGAGCTAGCCTTCGACGCCTGCGATGCCAAGTCGCCAAGGGAGGGAAGCCTCGTCAGCGACGCGGCAAGCGCCATGGTGGTGTACGCCGTGTCTTGTCC